CCTGAGTCCTTTGTTGTGGCCTTGAACAGTCAGTATTGGGAGTGTGTTTTATAAACGATTGCTGAACTGGGTTTAGTGTTGCTGTGGTTTGTGTGATGATTCCTCGACCCCAACAAGTACAACAGGTAACTTGTCCATACCTACACCGGCAGTGAACAGCAAGCAAGAATTCAAATTTTAAAATGCTTGGGCGCTAAGTTTATAATGCTCTTTCACTTGAAGACTTCATATGCAATTAGGCCAAATCTCTAAGTTTCCTCAACAGTCATGCATGCCTTTTACAATGAAACTCAACAGTTCCCCACATCAGGCTCTATCCTGTGGAAATTCAAGAAAGTAAATCAACTGAGACAGGTATGAATGACCTCCCAGAGTGGCCTCCACAGACATTTCCACTGCTGTGGGCATCAGAACGTGTCTCCGCTGTGATCAATAGCATCTGGCATTTCTCTCTTGTCACCCATTTTTCCTCCTTTAGACTACTACTCAATGTGTCAAATGAATTAATAAATGACCTGGGGTTGCTCACTGAGCATTTATAGAAACTTTACTATTGAGTTTTCGAGAGCCACAAAAACAAGCTCAAAGGCCATGCACAGGGTCCTTTTCTCTCTATTGTATTTGTCAGTACCTCTGGATTTCTCAAAGAAAAACTGTGGCTAACATTTGAGGCAGGGATGGGACGGGGGAGTGGTGGGGCCTCCACCCTTCACATGCCCTCACTGAAACAAGCATTGAAGATGTCAGATCCCAAGGGAACATGAGAACTTGAAGGTGCTAGGCAGCTGATATGGTCATCATCAAAACTTGATTATAAAGTGTGAAATACAAAAGCTATAACTATACAACACAAGAGTCGCAATTATCTTGAAAATAAAAACAAAGTCATAGAGATAAATATATATTTATATATTAAATATGCATTTATATATTATATTATTATGTTTTCTATATTTATATATTATATATAAAATATACATGTTATATATGATAAATTATACATTACATTTATATAACATATTTAACAAAATATTTAATATATTATAGAATATGTATGTATGTGTATATAAAATGTATATATAATGTATAATATATAATATAATACATGCTAAATTATATATACAGTTTACTATATATAATTATATTATACATTATACATTGTGTTGTGAGACTATAAAAGCACAGCTGTGGGAATCAGAGTGTTATCATGAAGTTTGGGAATGCACGCAGACAAGCAATTTTGTATATAAAATATTATATATATGATATATTATTTATTATATTCATGTTATATGTATTATATTATATATATTTACATTTTATATATCATATATTATATTTATATATTGTATGTTATATTATATTGTACATTCCATATTATTATATGTTGTATATTATGTTAATTATATAGCATATTGTATATTGTATGTTGTATATTATGTATTATTATATGTAATTTTGAAAAGAAAAGACCAAGATAAATGTACGCATATTCATATATATTTATATTATTCATATATATTATTTGGGAATGCATGCAGACAAGCAATTTTGTATATAAAATATTATATATAATATATGATATATTATTTATTATATAAATAATAGCGCATGGCTGTTTGGGAAAGTAGAATTTTTTATTTCTGTTTCTCAATCCTTTTTTGTAGTTTGTAAATGCAATGGGAACGTTTCAATCGTATAACCAGAAAACTTTGATTATGAAATCTGACATAACCTTTTCAGTAACTGCTTAGTAAAATCATCTCTAGTATGTTAATACAGAACAACAGCATTGCATAATATGTTAATGTTGTGAGTGAGCCTATAGAAACACAGCTCTGGGAGTCAGAGTGCTAACATGAAATCTGAGAATGCAAGCAGACAAACAAGAAAAAAATCGTATTTCCCTAATCAAGTTCTTCATATCCAGGAATGCCACACACTGACACCAGGTATGGGCAATAAACCATGGCCCATGCCCTCCTCAGACTCTAAGGCTTCCAGCAGCATCTACTTCCCAGGAGAGCCAGGGCAGAGTCTGGCAGGTTCACCGGGCAAAAAAAGACAAAGTGGAGCCCAAGAGGTTAACTACAGCTAAGTGGAGTCTCTGTCTTCTGACTTCTTACTGTCCTTTGCTTTGCAAATATTTGCAAAGGAGCTCGCCAGGGCAAGAGGGAAATGAACCACTTGGTAAGCCAAAGAAACTGATTCTCAATCCTAACTGCAATACTCCACACCATACCTATCCTCAGCACCCATTCCTCTGCTTGAAAGCCAAACCTATTTAAATCCTTTAGGATTTAAAGGTGTTGTTATAGCAACCTAACTTTGACTTTACTCTGGGGTACCAACAACTGTTTGATGCAACACCTTCCTTTTGATGCAAAAAGGGAGACTAAAAGCAGGTGGACTGTGTGTTTTTGTGTTTGGGAGCAGGTAATTTCTCTTCTGGGGTCCTTAATTTTCCCACAAAACAAAAGGAGTCCCAACTTCATTACCATCCTGAGGAGACAACCTCACCTGGCTGGGAACAGAAACTCCAGAAAGGAATCCCTGACTGCAAAGATCATCTGATTAGAATTACAGTACTTTGGAGACTGGAATTTTGCAGGTCCAGGGGCTAATTACTTTATCTTGGGCTAAGATCAGCCCAGAACAGCAGTTCCTTGGACCAACCCCCACCTCCATTCCCACTCCCTCACCCCAGTCCATTCTTGGCCCAGCCCCCGCCCCTAACCCTGACCCTGACTCCCTTGTTGGAATTAACATCTTTTGACAACATATAAAAAACCTTTTAGAATCTATTAACTTAGCAGGAAACTAACTTCTACCAGTCTAAAAGCTAAGAATGTCACCAGATAGAATATTTTCCCTAAAAGCTTCCCAGATTTCTATGTGCCTGCCTCTCTGATGTACCCGCCAATGTATTTTAAACTTTCCTTAATTCATGACTTTCTCTGCTCCGTAAAACTAAACACCCCGAGAAGCTGATTCCACGTTGCAACATAGAATTTGGGATAGCCAAAATCTGTGTTCCCAGTACACGGTCACTCAAAAGTGGCTCCAGAATAAACTCTCTTCCATTCCTGCAAATTGAGAACTGTGGGTTTTTTACGTTGACATTGCAAAGTTAAACAGCCTGGAAATGAAGGGGAAAGTAAACACACCTAGGCGGTGAGGGGGAAGCCGCAGACCACAGCTAGCCAGCTTTGGAGAAACTGACCTCCGTCTTCTATGCCTTCTTCTCTGCTAAGCACAAAAAGCACAGTTCCACGGGACTCATCAAATAATAGATAAATTAATTAAATAAATCAATGAAAACAACGCTTCGTTCTCTAGTGAGGGGCTCAGGAGCAGCCCGCTACAAGAGACACTTTCCTCCCAGCGGGGCTGATGTCAACAGCCCCTGCTTCTGGCGGAACAAAGGCTTCTTAGCTTCAGCAAAACATTTAAGCCTCTACAGTTGGCCCTAGTTCAATTTGAGAAAAAGGGGGCAGCCAGGAGAGCAGAGCAAAGTTATGAAGCAGGCCAGGCTGGGAAGTGGGGAAATGCTTAATCTCTCTTCTCCACTAAACAGAGAACTCTTGAAAGGCATAATGGAAGGGTGCAGTTTCCAATTTGAATTATTTTCTTTGTTTCACTCTGTTCTGCCTAAGGCTACTGCCTTTTAAGCCAACTGCAGAATCCTCTGGATGCAGGCCGAGCAGTTGGAAGACCCACACTCAAGGGGCTGAACTCTCAGACCTCAGCTTCCTGCCTGTAAAATAAAAGGTTCCCTAGCTGCTGCCTGTACCTTCTCAATAACAATGGTACACTGTTGGAGGCTGTCCAGTTCTATTCAGAGACGGGTTAGTCTCCACAGGTACTACTCAAGGTGAAGCATCAGATAGGTAAGATGCTATCACTCCTGCACAGGTCGCATAGGATCCGTTCACCGCCCCCTTCCTGTCCCCAACTCATCCTTAGGGCTGACAAGCCCAGACCTCACTACTCTAAAAATCCGGCTGCGTGAGCAGAGTGAAAGTAAAAGGGCAGGCACAGCCAACAGTGGACCTACCTCTGCGAGCCTCTGATACGTCCCCGTCTAGATGAGGGGCCCCGGATGGCCTTGTGTGAAGAGGAGTCAGTGACACCTGGAGTGTCTAGGCACAGGGAGCTCCAAGGCAAAGAGCAAGCGAAACCCAAGACCTCACTGGTGGATTTAGTTAAAATGAACTATTCTTTCAACAGACTAGGGAGGCGCTCGAGATTCCCCAACAGAAGCAGTCGCCAGAGCACCCGGACAATGGTGTGTCGAGCAGGGTCTATTTTAGAAGGGTACCTACAGATCCTTAGTTCTACCCACAACTCTTAAGAAAACCTCGGGGAGAAGTGAGGGCTTGTCCATTTCACCTTAAAACCTGTGCCAAGGGGTGAAGCACACTTAGGGGAGGGGTAGGGGCTTTTTGTAGGCTCTTTCTTATTGTATTTTTTCCCCTTAAAAATCTACAGGTTTAGTCCGACCTTTCACAGGGCACCCTTGCGAAATTTCTCTCGCCCCCCCCCCCCAGCAGTAGGTGGCCTCCAAGCGCCGCGCCCGTTGGTTTGGCTGGAACAATAACCTGTCCAACGGAGGTTCAGCAGGGCTAGCTGCGCCCCAGATCCCTGGTGGGGCACACGTGTGTTTGTTGTGGTGCCTCCGCTCCCTCTCCCTCCACCAGGCTTAGTTTCCTGATCTGTTACCCCGGTAAGCAAGAACTAAAGGGACCCGCACTCCACAAGGCAACGCCTTACACAATAAAGACGCTGCCGTGTAGGTTCCTACGGGCCCCGCACACGTGGGTTTGTTATGGGTGCGCAGGCTAGCTTGCCGTGGGGAGGCCAAGGCGATCCCTCCCCTGGACCGGCGACAGACATCCTCAGCCCGGGGCGGCAGCTCCTACCGGGGCAGCTGGGGCTGCCTCTCAGCGCACCCCTGCACGCCTCCTCCCGGTCGTGCCGCCCGCCTCGCCCCTACTCACTTGCAGCGCTCTCAGCCGGGAAGGACGCGGCAGCCGCTGAGCCCACCGATCGCTCGCGAGGCGCGCTGCCCGATTCCCTTTGTTAGGGTCGGGCAGTGCCAGGGCGGCTCCCCAGCCCAGGCTGGTGCTCAACTCCACTCCCCCAGGTGCCTCCAGACCTCGCCGGGCCGAGGGAGAAGAGCCCGGGACTCAAGCTCCGAGCGAGTCCCCTAGAGAAAAGATCTACTGGAAAGCAGAGAGGGACCCACAGATGTGGGTGCAGAGGACTGGGAAGGAGGGAAGAAAAGCACTGCAGACCGGCGGGAGGAAGCACTGAGTCCGTTATGCAAATAGAGTCGTTAAAACTAGAAGAGTGCTCTATCTCACCGGTCCCAAACCATCCTGGCCCTCTGGAGGTCGCTAGCGAGTTGGTTCAAGGTTAAAGGTGCCTGCCTAGGGCTCCCGTAAGGCAGGCAATCTTGCAGTCTGTCCACAAAGAGCAAGCCTGGGGGCGGAGCAATGCGGCAGGCAAGGAAGCCCAAATGCTGCCTCCACCCCCACCCTTTGCGTGTCCTGATGGATTGGATTCAGTGTTGTCTGGCGAAAATGGTCTTACCAGGGTGCTTGTCCTGGCTCTGCACAAGGTGATCTTGATTAGGCAAGTCATATTTAGCCCTTGTGAAAACTCAATTTTGTATGTAGAACACATACATCTTAGACTGTAATATTTAAAGTTTAGCAAAAATCCCCCAACATCAAGTGTGGCCTGTACACAGCATTGTCAAACTTTTTTTTTTTTTTGAGATGTTCTGAAGCCGCGCAACCTAGAACTTTCGCAGCAGGTATGCAGTCAGACAGGCCCTGGCTACAGTTGTAAAGACAGCCAAGCACCTTCCTTCCACTGGGCTTAGGATAAGGCTACTGGAGAAATCGGGAGGAAACATCTTGTTGAAGAAGCAGCCTGGCAGCCTGACCATCTCTGATTAACCACAGGCCACTTCCGAAAGACTGAAAACTTTCCAGTTCTCTGTAAGAGAACTGGAGGCAGGCATCTAGCCACTCCTTCAGTCCTTCATATCCGAGAGAAGAGATTCAGCTACCCGAGGCAGTAATCACATCCCAAATATCTGCCTCTTTGTATCGACCTCTTCGTTGGGAGAGGAACTAAACAGAGCTCCAAAAACGCAGAAAATTGCTGGTCTGGGTTTTCTGTGTAGCAAAATGACCTCTACAATAAAAGTGCTTGAAATCGGGACCAGAGCGTTCTCTTCAAGTCCAGGTAGCCACTTCTCATCACCAACCTGGGAAAGAAAAAGTTGCATCCTCCTTCCTCCCCAGCACCCTTCTTTCAGATTGTCTTTCCTCCATCCTTTGATTCCCAGTCCCTCTGCTGCTCATCCTCCCCCAGCTGCTCTGGAGCCAGAGACCCGAATCAGAAAGTGCCAGACAGTGAATTCAGCTCTGTGGCCAAGAAGCTATTTGTTCTTGGGTGAGTTCCACAGTCTTTCTGGGCCAGTCTTTCCTCTTCTGCAACATGGAGAGCTAGAAGACAGCACTGATGATCATGTTTACATGAAATGATTTGTATGGAACAAGTACCGTGGAGTCCAGCCTATTGAGCATGCTCATAATGGTGCACTCTGCTGTGAGTGAACGGAAGCAAACTCGGGTGACTGTTTCTGAAAGGTGCTAACTGTAGGTCGAAGATTTTGTTCTACTACATTAAGAGGCCTTTAAAGGATTTTTATGAGTGGCACACAGTGCGTCCCTGTGATTTGCATAGATTCTTCTGCCGCCATTCTTGAAGAAGGAAGCAGGAGCAAGGAACAAGCAACTGAGAATCTCAGACTGGCTTGGAGGCTGACATCAGTGGAGGTCTCTTAAGCATCTGAACTGTGACGCTGACACAGGAAATGAAACTATCTAAGCATCTAAACAAGAACCACCAAAGGCACAGTGCTTGTTACAGTGTTGCCTACGCTACAATAGGTGTTAAGCCCACTTGTGGATGAGGAAATTAAGACACCCAGGCCCTTGGGAAGTCTCAATATCCCCCCCCAAAAATCCATTGAAAGCCTCAATCCTTTCTTTCAACCTCCCTCTTGTTTCAACTCAATTTAGGAACTAAGAACCAAACAATAGGAAAGCGACTCTTTTTAAATGAGGTACAGCCCCTGAGGTCTGTTTTCTAGAATCCAACCAGTCAATGGGGGGGGGGGGGGGGGGAAGGGGCTCACTTTGAGTTTTGAACTTGCCATATTGATAATACTCATATACCGTGGCAAACCTAAGAAGAAGCCCTGGGGGGTCTGGGACAGAGGAATAGACATGTAGGGATAGTTCCAGGAAAATTGCAGTGGCATCACCCTCTGGTGGCTTTCCAAGGAGGCTCTTTCATCAGTAGGGCCTTCTGACCTACAAGGACTATAGAGCTGCAGGCTACAGGAATGTAGTTCATCATGCTGGTTGCTTTCCTTAGAAGTCAACATTCCATAGCTTCTGCTCCCACTATCTGAATATACCCTCCATTCCTATGCTGAAATCTCAACCCACACTCAAGTGATTAGCACAGACAAGATGCCTGTCTTCACCAGTTGCCAAAGCTGGTATCACCTAGACCTTGGGCCTACTAGACTTCAGAATGATGAAGAATACACTTCAAGGGCTTTGAATCACCTAATTTGTGGTGGGTTTGTTGCTGCAATCTTTATAGACTAAGATAGTCCCTTGAATTCACAGAGACCCACCTGCCTTTGCCTCCCAAGTGCTGGAATTAAAGGCACACACCTCCACCACTTTGATTTTTAAATATGTGTGTTCTAACAAAGGCAAAATAGTATCATGTTTTGACAACATCACAAGGCAAGAGTCCGAGGTATTTGCTGACAGCAAGGCTTTCTTTACAATTCTCTAGGTGGCCTGGGCAAGCAACCTCCCATATTTCCATGTCTACATCCACCCATTTCCCAGATCTTCTCATCTTAATGGTTCATTTATATATGTACTCTTATTTAAAAAAAAAAAAAA